GTGGCCTTCCTTCCCTCATCACCACAGGTGAGGATTCCCTGGGGAACTCTCTATTGGGTTACCTTTGTGTATTTGTGCTTCAGAGCCCTGAGCACTTTCTGAAACTATCTCTGCGTTCGATTGCGTAATCCAAAGGTGGCCACTATAATATCTCCCATTCCACATGCTATTCCAGAACCCCACCACTCGCTCATGAGGTGAACTCTAATTCTGCCCCACCTTGAATCTGCATCAGCTTGTGACTTGCTTCTAATCAAAGTGACTTCAGAAGCTGGGTCAGAAAAAGCAAAGCAGCTTCCCCCTGATTTCTTGGGACACTTGCTTTTGGAGCTCCCAGTCACTGTGTGAGAATCCGGCTGCTATGCTGTGAGGAAGCCCAAGCCACATGAAGGGGCAGAGTTTGGCTGCTCCAATTGACAGCCCCAGCTGACTCCCAGTATTAACAGCCAGACATGTAAATCAGGTTGCCTCCCTACCCATGACTCCAGCCCCCAGCCATCCTGGAGCAGAGACAAGTCACCCCCACCATGCTCTGACCAAATTCCTAACCTACAGAATGTGTAAGCATGGTCAAATATGTCAGCCTTCCATATAGATGGGTTCCACATCCACGGATTCAACCAATACTGGAAAAAATAAAATTAAAAAATAACACGATTTTTAAAAATACATATAAAAACAATACAGTATACTTATTTACATAGCATGTACATGGTATTGGGTATTATAAGCAATCTAGAGATTATTTAAAGCACACAGTGTGTAGGTGTTATATGCAAATACTACACAATTTTATATCAAGGACTTGGCATCCTGGGATTTTGGGATCCAAGGTGGGCTCCTGGAACCACTCCCTCCCAGAGACAGAGGGTGGCTCTAGTTGTTTTAAGCAAAACTTAGTAGTTTTGGAGTAATTTGTTACACAGAAGCAGTAACAAAAACAATATTTACTTATTATCTGTCTCCTCCCAATAAAATGTGGGCTCCATGAAAGCAGGGAATTCCACGTCTTGGTCCTTCCCATATCCACAGTGCCCTATATATAGAAGGTACTCAATAATTAGCAGTTGATTAAGTGGAAGAATCTGAATTTGGGAAACAACAGCGATGATGTTGCATAGTTTCTTTTTAAAATTTTTTTTGTGACTGGAGTCTCACTCATTCTGTGGCCCAGGCTGGAATACAAGGACACAATGTCAGCTCACTGCAACCTCCACCTCCTGGGTTCATGCAGTTCTCCTGCCTCAGCCTCCAGAGTAGCTGGGACTACAGGTGCACACCTTCATGCCTGGCTAACTTTTTGTATTTTTAGTGGAAACAGGGTTTTACCACGTTGGCCAGGCTGGTCTCGAACTCCTGACCTCAAGTGATCCACCGGCCTCAGCCTCTCAAAGTGCCGGGATTTCAGGTGTGAGCCAGCATACCCGGCCAATGTTGCATAGTTTCTGATTCATGTAATACAGCACAGTTATTGTGCACCTACTATGTGACAAGCAAGTCGCCAGGGGCTAGGGACACTGTGGGGTTAGCTTTCTATTCCTGTGAAATCCTATCACAGGGACACTAGGGAGGACCACCAAAGAAACAAAAGCCCCCACCCAACTCTCCGTATCTGCCAAACATAGATCTAAAAGGCTGACTTTTCAGAAAAACTAGACTTGTGATTGCCAAATGCAGCCAGCCCACATCTGGGGGTGTATTTCATTATCCCCGGGCGTGGCTCTTTTCCATCCACAGCTCAGTCACTTGTACTCTGGCCTCTCACTAGGCGAGCGGATGACTCCAGACAGGGACCATGTGGCAGGAAGGCTGCCTGGTTCTGCACATCTGGCCCCTTCCCGGGGGGTTCCTCCCCAACAGCTGTCCTCCCCAGGCTCCCTTGCCAAGCAGAAGGCCAAGCTTTCAAGCTCTAAAAGTAATTCTGGCAGGGGTGCTGCGGGCTGGGAGGGAGGCCTTCGGGATGCGCCTCCAGGTTTAACCACTTAATCCCCAAAGTACCTGCCAAGAACCAGTTAGCATGTCTGGCTGGCTGTCCAGGCCGTCATTAATTCATTAAAGCAGGCTCCCGCTGGCCCATTATCTTCCTTGCCACTGACCACGTCGCCTTATGGGCCTGCGGAGTCCCCCTATCTCCCCTTCCCCTGCTCTCAAAGCAGGATTCTACCCAGCCCTGGCCCCAACTCCCAGGCAGATTCCTCGGCTCCATTCTCTCTCCCTCCCTGCCCCCTCCCTAGGCACGATTCTCCCTCCCTCCCATGCCTCCGCCAGCCAATGCTCACCATAAAGCGTCTTTTGTTCCCTCTCCCCTGTATCTTTGAGTATTGACTGGTTAAATCATACCCACCTCCTCCCGGCCTCCCCAGCCTCAGAGGAGCTTCCCCTGGGGCTCTGGAAGAAAGGGAATTTCACTTATGCAGGAATTCACTGTGCACCACCCTGTCTGCTTACTGCCCCTATCTCCTCTTCCCCTGCAAGTCATGGGGTGAGGGGGGCTGTGTGCCCTCAAAGACGGAAACTCTAATTCCATTGGGGATCACTTAGGTGGGCGCTCTCTGCCTTGGCTTCCCCTTTGAAATAAAAAGAATGGCTCTGACTATTTTATGACATCCTCTGTTGAGTGAAGTTAAGAGACAGACACTGCACTGGACACTTTTTTTTTTTTTTTTTTTTGAGACAGGGTCTTGCTGTCCCCTAGGCTGGAGTACAGTGGTGCGATCTCAGCTCACTGCAACCTCTGCCTCTGGGACTCAAGTGATCCTCCCACCTCAGCCTCCTGAGTAGCTGGGACTACAGGTGCACACCACCATGACCAGCTAATTTTTGTATTTATTTATTTATTGTTTGTACAGATGAGGTTTCACCATGTTGCCCAAGCTGGTCTTGAACTCCTGGCCTCAAGTGATCCGCCCACCTTGGCCTCCCAAAGTGCTGGGATTACAGGATTGAGCCACTGCACCCAGCCTGTACTGGACACTTTAGATGAATGTTCTCTTATCATTCTCCCAATAACCCTGGAAACAGCTCCAGTTTACAGACAAAGGTGCAGAGAGGTAATGGTTCTTTCTCAAGGCCACGCTGTCAGCAAGTGGCTGGGCATTAAAGAGTCTCTTAACTGTTATTCTCTCCTGACCCTCCTGGCACTGGTTTCCCAGGAGGGCAGGCAGGAGTGGTGTGGAATTTCCAGCAAAAATAAAGGGAAAATGTTGACTACCTTGGGAAAGAATGACAGTAAATGCACAGTAATAATCATGATGGCTCATATGTATATCCACTGTTCTAGAGCTTTCTGTGTATGAATTCATTTAACCCTCTTAATAACGTGCCTACGCATTAAGTACTATTATTATCCCCATTTTACATATGGGAAAACTGAGTCTTGGGTGTTTGTTGCTGCTTGTTATTTTCTTTTAAATGACTTCTGAGAAAAGTATTGATGGCTCGCAGGAGAGGCTCAAAACAGTTATGCTGAAAATATATATACATATATACGTATACACATACATACATACAATTATTATTATTATTGAGTTGGAGTCTCACTCTGTCACCCCGGCTGGAGTGCAGTGGTGAGATCTCAGCTCTTCTCCACTCACTTCTTGAATCACTGCAACCTCTGCCTCCCAGGTTGAAGAGATTCTCCTGCCTCAGCCTCCCGGGTAGCTGAGATTACAGGTGTGCACCACCATGCCCAGCTAACTTTTTTATTTTTAGTAGAGATGGGGTTTCACCATACTGGCCATGCTGGTCTCAAACTCCTGACCTCAGGTGATCTCCCTGCCTCGGCCTCCCAAAGTGCTGGGATTACAGGTGTGAGCCACCCTGCCTGGCCTGTGTGTTGGAAATATTGATCCTGCATATAGCTGAGCACACGCTTGAAACCTATGAGAATTGAAAGTGGTGGTTCCCACCCTATACGGCTGGCATAGGCCTCCCTCATACACCTAAGGTACAGCTGTGAACATTCCCCTTTCTCCATTAGAGTAGGGAAAGTGGAGAGCACTCCATATCCAGTATAGAACGCAACAAATTGTCTTCCTCCAGTGAATTTTCTGTCCCTTCTACTTAATTGACCAGAGCTGGGAAAAAATGGGCTTCCTCAAATTGAACTAAAAGCATGAGAAAGGCCGGAGCCGCTGGTATTCTGAGATCAGATGTAGGCTGCAGGGAGAGAACCTGTTCCCGGCCAGTGAAGGGAGCTCCAGCACGGGGAACCCGGGCTGGGAGCGCAGAAGGCGGGCGGTGAGCAATTCTACGGGTGTCCCGACGGTATGAGGGGCGGCGCTGGAGGGAAGCCGTGCGGGGCATCCTGAGGTCAGGGCACCAGAGCCTGCAGAACCTTGGAGGTTGTGGCTGCTGGGGACGCGCGGGCGGGACACGGCAGGTAGAAGAACCCACAGGTGTGGGAAGACGGTGTCTCAGAGTCAGGACGCAGCTCGGAAGTAACTCTGAGGTAGAAGCCGAGGGAGGCGGGGGAGATAAACTCCGCAGCGAGAATTACCTGGTGCTGCCCCTCGACATCGCTGCAAAACAGCGAAACCCCTCGCCGCCGCCTTCCCCTGCAGCGCAGGCCCCAGTCCCCCAACTCCTCCCCTGCGCTCCAGCGCAGAGCGGCGCGCTCTGCCCGCCCCTCCCGCAGACTCCTCTTTCGGGACCCGGGCGGGTTCACATCCCTGACACTCACACACTGGCAAACGGGAACACTCAGACAGGCTCCGGCCTGGAGTCCTCCGCCTCCCGGGAGGGGCACCTGACATCTCGCACGCCAGGTCCCAGGAGGGGAGCGCTTTTCCAATCTCCTGGACAACAGAACTAAAGAAAACCGTGTCCTAGCCCTCTCCCCATTTCTATTTGATTTTACTCCCTTCCTCTCTTGCCTTCTAATTCACTTTTCAATTGCCTTGCAACTTGCTCTCCAGGCAGTTTCTCTTTTTCTCCACCCTCCCCAAACTTCTTGTCCCTCCCCACCTCGTCGCCTGGTTTTTCTCTCCCTCTTCACCCACTTTTTTTCTGCCTCTTCCCAAATTCCACTCTTTGGGCTTCGCGTCTGTCGCTCAACTTCCTTTTTCTGCTCCCCGAGATCATCCGAAGTGTTCTTCCAGTTCCCGGGATTGGGCAGCCTCAGCCTGGCCCCATTCAGTCGCGGGAGCCCCTGGCTTCTCCAACTGGAGGAGGAAGAAGGCGGAGAGAAGTGGATGGGACCCCCGGCGCCCGGGAGCCCAGCGGAGTGCGCCCCGAAGCGCTCACTTCTTTTCGCCAGCGCTCAGGCTGCGCGGGCCCACGCGACATCTGTCGCCTGCGGTCCCGGCTCACACCCCGCGCACCCCCGCAGCTCCCTGGGCGCTGCCACCCCCCACGCTCCGGCTGCCGCCTTTCCCCGCGGGCGCAGACGACAGGGCCTCGCCTTCAGGCGCCGCTCCAGCTTCCCAGGGTGTCTGCGGCGCGCGGCAGGGCTAGGCGGCGTGGACCCAAGGGCAGCTGGCTATATCACCTTCGATCTTCACCTTCCGGCCCTGGACCCATCTATGGTGGACTCAGTTTGATTCTCTCCACCTTCATTCTCTGCAGCGCTCCGCGCTACTCCAGGATCCAGAGTAGTAAGGCGATGCTTACTTACATTGTGTGCTTCCTCAAAGCGCCTAGCACAGTGCCAGACGCACAGCTAGGGCACAATAATTTCCCCACCCCAAGAGCCTAGAACCTCCCTCCCACTGATACCAACCACACTAGGCGCTCAATACCCATGTCCAGTCCTAAGCTCTCAAAACATTACCTCCCTAAACAGTGCCCAGCACCCAGAAGGAGCTCAGTAAATGTTCCTTCCTTAAGGCTTCCCATTGGAGTTTCCCCAAAAGCCTCCTATTCCAGCCCACTCCGAGGGCATCTCCTTCCCATCGCAGCTACAACCGTCTGGGGAGAAGGAGGCCAAACTCCTTAAACAGGACACCTCACTGGTGAAGGAGCGAAGTTGGCAGGACAGAGGAAATTTGCAAATGCGCGGGGTTTGGGGTTGAAGATTGAGCCAGCCAGAAACAAGGACGACGAAGTCTCGAGATGCTATTGGGGTGGCAGAGAATGGAGATCAGAGATTGGAGAAGTGACACTTAGGGAGAAGAGGTGGGAGCAAAGGTGAGGGAGACGGTGGGGACTCAGGAACGGCAAGAGGCTTGAAGGAGACAGGGAACCTTTCTTGAAACTGCGACAGATTATAAGTATTTGGCGTAGCTTACAACTACATTCTCATAGCAAGCACACTTTTTACTTGCATTGTGTGTTTATTTGTGGGGCTGGTGGGGATTATGGAGGCTGAAGTCCTCCGCAAGCCACCGAGCTCTAAGGGAGTAAGTAGCAAAATGCGCTTAAGGACTCGAAGAGATGGGGGCAGAAACGGTGGACCTGACACTTGGAAGGAAAGACGGGGGCTGGGTAGAAGAGCTGGCCGGAGGTGCTTGCAAGAGAAGAGAACAGAGGAAGAAGGAGAAGGGAAGAGAAGAAAGCCAAACTTGCCACTCTCCCGCTCCCGGGCCAGCCCAGCGCCTCCAGTGCCCAGCTGCCGCGCCCTGGCTCTCGCTTGCTGGCTCGCGTACCTGTTGCTCGCTCCGGCTGGGTCTCGGCTCCGGCCCCACCAAGAAGCCCCGCGTTCCTACAAGTTCCGCCTGCCGAGCAGCCAGGCCGCCAGCGCCGCCACCTGCGCGGCCGCGCACAGCCAGGGCCAGTAGGTGGGGAGCGCGCTGGGCGCCGGCGCCCTCCGGCTCCGCGCGCGGCGCCGCCACATGGTGCGCTGGTGCAGCTCGTCGCCGAGCGCCTTGAGCCGGGCGGCGGTGAGCTGCGCGGCGGACGAGCGCAGCCCCAGGCGACCCGCGCTGCAGGCGCAAACGGCCGGGGGGCCGCGGCCGCGGTGCAGGGGGCACGGGCACATGACCGCTGGCCTCGCTCCCGCCCCGCGCTCAGGCCGCCCCTCGCCTCCTCTCCCTCCGGCCTCTGCGCCCGCTGCCGCCGCGCTCCAGCCGCCGGGGGCCTCCCCTGGACACCAAGTTTCTCCTTGTGTTGTGCGTTTGTTGTGCTGACGGCGCTATTATTAATTAAAGTGTCACATGGTGGAGGGGGGCGGGGAGGGGGGTTACATCATCCGGCCCCCGGGGGTGGGGGGGGCTGCAGGCAGAAGAAACCGAGAGGTAACTTTTAACCCTAGCGGCGCCGGCAGCGAGGGGGCGCGCGGTTTGGGAGACGGGGAGCGCGGCGCGGGGCGATGCGAGAAGGCGCCCCGCGGCGGAGGTCCCGGGCTTTGAGGGTCTCGGGGGACCCCCGCAGAGGTGAGGGAAGGTTGTTCTCTTTCCCCTTTTCCTGAATTCAGCTCGAGTTCCGATTTGGCGAGGGAAGCAGCCTTGTTTGCCGTTTTGGATGAAGCTGATACTGAATTCGGCTGCCTGATTCAAAAATATTCCGAGGCTGTTGTTTTGTTTGGGGGAGGTGGGTGGATTCAAAGTCTTGTGGAAGGGCCAGATTACACCTAACTTGCCTCGTTTCAGGTCTGACTTGGCACCTGTAGGCTTTCAGCCTGACCCTAACGTGTCCCCAGCGCCCCGCTGGAAACCCTGACGTAGGCGCGGTGGGAGGTTGGAGGGGTCGGTCCTGAGCTCGCGTGGGGCGCGGACAGAGGCTTCCTCGCCGCCCAGCACCTGCACCCCAAAGACCCTCGCAAGGGCCTTTCTAAAGGGAAACTTCTTGTCTGCTTTCTTTGTGAACATTATTTTCCTGATGGGGTTACAGTTTTCTGCGACGATCCCGATTTATGCGCAGTAGAGATCCTAAGGGGTCAGCGAGAGGAGGGGCGCGGGGGACTTTAATTCCTCCTTTTCCAATCCCACATCCGATCCTGTGCACCTCCAGACTGGAGAGTCTGGAGTTGTTGTCACAGCCAGTGAAGGTTCAGATGGGCGGGGCGGCTCTCAGGATTCTTTGGGGGAGAATGAAACCTGCGATCTTAAATCCACTGGGATTCAGGCAACTTGGGGATTCAGACGATCGGGATGAGTCCAGAGGTGGCTCTAAGGTGGGAGTCTGGAAGCTGCTGAGGGAGCTTCCATTCTTTCCTTCCCACTGCAGAGTATAACCACGATTCTTCAAGCCTGTGAACTTAGTTTTGGTCTGAATTGATCAGGAGGAGAAACATCTGCTTTGGCCTGCAGCGCGGTGAAATGATAACAAAGTCAGGACTCAAGGCCCACACCTCCATGTGATCCTGGTGACCCTTTCCCTCACCTGGCTCCAATTCTTCTAGGCTTCTTAATGGCCAAGACTTCCATGTCTGGCATCCGTAGGCTTTGGGCGCCCTTGCCTCTGCTGCGTAAATGTAAATCTCCCAACAATTCTACGTGCAATTACTATAATATTTCAAAGATGAGGAAGCTGAGGTATAGGTAGATAAGGCCCCTTGCCTAAACTCACAGAGTAGCTAAGAATGAAACCTGCATGTGAATTAGGGCAGTATGCCGCAGGCTCTAAGCTCTTAACCACGGTTTTATACTGCCCCCTGTAATCTGGGAATAATAATACCTCCACCCCAGGAGTGGGGCAGAGATTAAATGAGAGAAATGTGTGCCAAGCACCTGGCACGCGGTGGGCCCTCGATGAACCTTGGTTCCCTTTGCTTCTGGCCAGAACTGCTTCCCATTCTCCTGGGACTCACCTCCTTAATCCCCCCCTAGTCTCTGCAGAGGGGACCTGATCCATTGCCCGGGTGTAGCGTTCCAAGAATGAAGACACAGTGTCTATTTAAAAAGCCCTTTGGATTTAAATTGAACAATTCCCTCCCCCCCTTTTTAATCTGCACGCTTTTAACGGCTCACTTCATGGACATTAATTTTAATGGGACGATTATTACCCTGTTTGGAAGCCTGCCCCTCGAAATGCTGGGCTCTCAAGGTGGCGCTGGGTCGGGTCCCAGCAGCTTGGATGTTGTCTGTAGAACAGGGGGTGCAGTCTTGGCCATGGGGATGCCACGTTCAGCAGAGGGGGAAGAAAGGGGGTGATGGAAAAGTAGGAGAGAAGGAATAACCTCTCCCTCTCTGACGCTCTAAGTCTGGCAGGCCTTAATTTGCACACACGCGTTGCCCTGTGCTGCTGGACCACTTACTAACTGGGGAGCATGGCCTTCAGACCTGGCTTTTTGGAGCCTCCATTCTCTCAACTGTACGGTGGGGATAATGATAGTACCCACCCCACAGCCTATATACCAGGAAAGCCCTTACTTAAAACAGTGCCTGGCCCATCAGTAGCTTTTTTGTTTTTTTTTTTTTTTTTTTTTTTTTTTTTTGTTTTTTTTTTTTTTTTTTTTTTTTTTTTTTTTTGGAGACAGAGTATTGCTCTGTTGCCAGGTGCCAGGCTGGAGTGCAGTGGCATGATCTTGGCTCACTGCAACCTCTGCCTCCTGGGTTCGAGCAATTCTCCTGCCTCAGCCTCCCGAGTAGTTGGGACTACAGGCACATGCCACCATGCCCAGCTAATTTTTTTTTTTTTTTGAATTTAGTAGAGACACAGTTTCACCATATTGGTCAGGAAGGTCTGGATCTCTTGACTTTGTGATCCACCCACCTTGGCCTCCCAAAGTGCTGGGATTACAGGCTTGAGCCACCACACCTGCCTTTCTGCCTTTTTTTTTTTTTTTTTCAGAGTATCGCTCTGTCACCCGGGATGGAGTGCAGTGGCACAATCTCAGCTCACTGCAACCTCCACCTCCTGGGTTCAAGCAATTCTCCTGCCTCAGCTTCCCGAGTAACTGGGACTTCAGGCACCCACCAGCACGCTCAGCTAATTTTTGTATTTTTAGTAGAGATGGGGCTTCGCTATTTTGGCCAGGCTGGTCTCAAACTCCCAACTTTCAGTGATCCTCCCATCTTGATTTCCCAAAATGCTGGGATTACAGGTGTGAGCCGCCATGCCCAGCACCATCGTTAGCATTTAATAAATGTTGACTACTGTTAATATTTTATAGTGGATTATGTAGTTGTCAAATAGTGTACTTTGAAGAATGTTGGGGACCCACACCCTCAAATATATGTGGTTCCCCTATTGTGGATTAGTGATTCCATTGCTGATATTAAGCATTGCCCAGAGAAAGCGAATTCTTTTTTTGAGATGGAGCTTTGCTCTTGTTACCCAGGCTGGAGTGCAGTGGTGCCATCTCGGCTTACCACAACCTCTGCCTCCCCAGTTCAAGGGATTCTCTTGCCTCAGCCTCCCGAGTAGCTGGGATTACAGGTATATGCCACCACGCCTGGCTAGTTTTGTATTTTTTAGTAAAGACAGCGTTTCTCCATGTTGGTCAGGCTGGTCTCGAACTTCTGACCTCAGGTGATCTGCCTGCCTCAGCCTCCCAAAGTGCTGGGATTACAGGGGGTGAGCCACTGTGCCCGGCCAAGAAAGCAAATTCTTTGGGAGAGTAATGTAAGCATCCCCTAACACTTTTTAAATTGTCTTAATTTTTATTAATTTTTTTTTAAACATGGTGTCTCTCTCTGTGGCTCAGGCTAGAGTGCAGTGGTGAGATTATAACTCACTACAGCCCCCAACTCCTGAACTCAAGCAATCCTCCCACCTCAGCCTCTGGAGTAGCTGGGACCACAGACACATACCACCACACCTGGCTAACTTAAAAAATCTTTTTAGAGATTGGAGTCTTGCTATGTTGCGCAGGCTGGTCTTGAATGCCTGGGCTCAAGTAATCCCTCCTACCACAGCCTCGCGAGTGGCTAGAACTATAGATGTGCACTGCTGTGCCCAGCTTCTCCTAACGGTTTAGTAAAAATGAGTTGTTGATTTCAATGTTTAACTTAATAAGCACTTACATAGTGCTCAATCTGTGCCAGGTGCTCTTCTAAGTGTTAGACATATAACTCCTTTAATTCCCCTAATAGCCCTGTGAGACAACTACAATCATTAGCTCAATGTTATGTATGAGCAAACCAAGGCAGAGGGCTTAAGTAACTTATCCAAAGTCACGCACCTGCCTGCCCCCAGAGTTTGAGCCCTTTAGAATTAGGGTCACATAGGGTGACTGGGGACTTGGGAAGAGGGAGGGAGGTTCTTGTATGATGAATGCCATCCCCTGGTCCACCCCAAGTGGATATGTCCAAGGTCTAACCCCTGGAACCTCAAAATGTGACTATATTTGGAGATAGAATCTTTAAAGAAGTAATTAAGTTAAAATGAGGTCACTAGGTTGGACCTGAATCCTGGTGACTTGTGACTGGTCTCCTCATAAGAAGAGGAAATTACGACACAGACGCACAGCGTGAAGACCACATGAAGACAGAGGCAGAAGAAGGTATCTGCAAGCCAAGGAAAGAGCCTAAAACAGGTATTTCCCTCACAGCCCTGGGAAGAAGCTAACCCTGGCCGGGCATGGTGGCTCACACCTGTAATTCCAGCATTTTGGGAAGCCCAGGCAGATGGATCGTTTGAGCACAGGAGTTCAAGACTAGCCTGGGCAACATGGTGAAACTCTGTCTCTACAAAAAAAAAAAAAAATACAAAAAAAGAGAAAGAACTGGCATGGTGGTATGCACCTGTGGCGCCAGCTACTCAGGCGGCCGAGGTAGAAGGATTGCTTGAGCCCAGGAAGCTGAGGCTGCAGTGAGCCAAGATCACACCACTGTGTTCCATTCTGGGTAAGAAAGTAAGGCCCTGTCTCAAAAAATAATAATAATAAAATAAAATAAAAAGGGACCAACCCTGTCAACTCATTGATCTTGGACTCCCAGCCTCTAGAACTGTGAGAATATACAGCTTTGTTGTTCAAGCCCAGACTGTGGCATGTTGCTAGGGCACCCCTAAGCAAACAAATACAGACAAGAGCAGTGTCCTCAACGGGAAGCTAGAAGCAGATATTTCACCAGACTGTGGCTGCTCTTACTGTGGGGCACGCGTGTGGACATTTTTCTGTGTTCTTGGGAAGGGTGGGTTCTAGGACAGTTTCCCTGTTCCTCTTCCTCCTCATTGGTGTCCTGTTGGAGATCTTTAAGGGAGGAAGAGTTT